GAAATTGGGAATTTCGAAAATTTTCAAATTGGATTCGGAAGTGTTATTTGATTTTTGGTTTTTTTTTTTTTTTTTTTTTTTTTTTTTTTTTTTTTTTTCCCGAACGGTTTATTTCCGGCCCGATCCATCCGATTTTCAGCCTAGATATTATTGTACAAACTTTATCTGAACTCTGCCCCATTTTAGCTGAGGTATTATTAGCCCTGAAAAAACGAGATATTATTACCCGTTTAACAGGGCTGATTTAACTTTGCGGGGGGGCAGAGGAACATACAGAAACGGGTACAAGGCTCGAGAAAAATCCCCCGGAAAAATCGTGGCCCTTAAAAAGGTTCGATTCGACACGTCAGATTCTGAAAGTGGGAAATTTATGGCACGAGAGATTATATGCTGAAAAAGCTCGACACCCTAATATCATTAAGCTTGAAGGAATCGCCACCTCAAGAATGCAATACAGTCTTTATTTAGTTTTCGATTTTATGCAATCGGATTTGACCAAAGTTATCTCCCGACCAGAAGGAAGGCTTACCGAACCTCAGGTAAAATTCTTCTCCTTTTCGAAAAACAGCCTAAGTTTATATATTCGGTGCTTGAAGATTTATCAATCAAAAAAGGGTAAATTACACTTAAGGTCCCTGAAGTTAGGTCAAATTACACCTAGACCCCCCTCAAATTTGGATAATTAGTTATACCTCCATTGATGTTTTGTCTAATCCACAAATCCAGCAATTGATAATTTTATCGTTGCCGTAATATTTTTTATTTATTTAGAAAGAAAAAAAAAATTTGGTTTGAGGTTGAGAATCGTAATTACTCTTCGGCCTTCACGTAAACAATTGAATTTTGAATTTTCGTTGGATAGAGGGTTTTATAATTCGAGCAAAAAGTGCATCGAAACTCTTACTTTTGGTTTAAATAAAATCTGAAAGGGTAAAAATGAGGATAAATAATTACAAGTGTTTGTTTAAGCTCAACAAAGAAATTGCAATCGAAACAAAACCTGAATGGAGGTATATGTAATTTTTTTCAAAACTGAGGGGTCTAGGTGTAATTTTCCAAACATGAGGGGGTCTAGGTGTAATTTTCCCCAAAAAAGTCTGATTTTATGCTCATAGTTTAAAGTTATTCCAGTTTAAAACTGTAAAAAAAAAATTGCAGGTGAAGAGTTATATGCAGCAGCTACTCTCGGGCCTGCAGCACTGTCACGAGAGGGGGATTTTGCACCGTGACATAAAAGGATCGAATTTATTGATCGATGAATACGGCGTGCTTAAAATAGCCGATTTCGGATTAGCGAATTCGTATCAGAATAAACCGAAGCGGGCCCTCACAAGCCGAGTCGTGACATTATGGTACAGAGCACCCGAATTATTACTCGGCTCCACGGATTACGGAGTTGGTATCGATTTATGGAGTGCTGGTTGTCTTTTAGCTGAAATGTTTGTAGGAAGGCCTATTATGCCCGGTAGGAACGAGGTAACAAAAAACGAAAACATTCTTGATTCAATTTCTTAATATTTATGATAAAAAATAATAATGATTTAAATTAAAATTTCGATTTTTTTTTTCCAGATTGAGCAGCTGCATAAAATATTCAAGCTTTGTGGTTCGCCGTCGGAGGAATATTGGAAAAAGGTGAAGCCACCGGCAACTTTTAGGCCGCCACAGCAGTATAAAGCTAATTTTCGAGAAATGTTTCCGTATTTTCCCGATTCGGTGTTTGAGCTTTTGGGAAGACTTTTATCGCTCGATCCAGCATATCGTGGAAGTGCTGCTTCTTGTCTCCAAAATGAAGTGAGTAATAAACGAACTATCTTTAATCTAATATTGATCTTAAAAGCGAAAAATCAGGAAACTGAAACGAATCGGTTTTTTTTTGTTTTAGTTGAGGAAATTTAATATAATCTTTAATAAGTTGCCAATCGTTTAAGGCTCTGTTTGGTTCACGGATTTTGAAATGCAGAAAATCAAAATGCAAATGAAAACATAGTTTTCGAAACACGATCTATTTTACCTAGTCCTCGTTTCATCTACTTAAATGGTTTGTTAGTATCTCGACTTTGACTTTCGATAAACGTTTGACAGTTCTTCACTACAACTCCATTGCCTTGTGAACTGTCTGGTCTGCCTTTGATAAGCAACGAGGCAAATGAATATATCCGATCCATCGACCGGAGAAGGTACGTTTACGTGCATTTCGTTTTGCTTTGTTTTGTTTCTATCTTATGGTTTCGTTGATTGTGAAGTTCGATTATTACAAGTAGGTTTCAACTGCCCTGCACAAAAACTCTGAGAGTTTTTCACAATTACACTTTAAATTACGGCCCCCCCTGAGTTGTGGTCTAATTACGAAAATTCCCCTCTTGTTTTGGTAATTACAACCACCCCCTCAACTATGTATTATCTTACGAAATACCCCTCCAGAGGTAAATTAGGGATGTAAATCGGTAAAACCGAACCCAAAATTTCGGTACGCCAACATTTCATACCGTTTACCGAACTGAATATACGATTTGGTTCGGTAAATAACCGAATTACATAAATTTTATCTTAAAAATATTAAAACGAGGGGTGGCTGTAATTACTCAAACAAGAGGGGTTTTTCCGTAATTTGACCATACCTCAGGGGGGTAATTTGCCCATATATATTATATTTTAAATGTAAAATATGTTTGGTTTATTTATTGTTAACAGAAACTATAATACAAAGCAACATGGACGAAAGGTCTCTTTCCCTGACCTTATCGGAGGTGCTGCATATCCCAAACAGGTTATTCTACGTTTCGTTTATTCCCATCATATATATAAATTACTACTATATGTTCGAGAAACGATGGGGGGGCCATGGCCCCCATAGTCGTATTTCGGGTCCGCCACTCTAATCTGCCGTTTTAAACAGGAAACTTACACGACAAGCAATTCGGAAAGCCAGGATACGGGTACGACGAGTTCGAGCAGTACAACATCATCCTCAATTACAAAGACAAACAGCTCCCAAGAAATGCCACCTCGTTCACCGACTCCATCTTTCCGCTCGAACAATCATAATAATAACAACAACCGATCCGCAAAAACGGAGGCACATCCAAATGCTCTGAAGAACATAAAGAACTACCCTCTCTTGCTCGCTTCTTTAACCGAAGCTGCGCACCACCTTGAAGAGAGTAACTCCGGTCTTTACCGCAGGTCGATTTCCCACATCGATTTTCGAGATCTTGATTTGGATAAGATTTCGAAGCTTTTTGGCTTAGAAGATAATTGAGCATCCATATATATATATAACTTTTTTTGTGATAAAATAGTTACGGATAAATAAAATGAATTTTATTTAGTTTTAATCCGAACGGGTGCAGTCGTAAGCAGGTAACGATTTTATTGCTTGTTCCATACATTAATTTCCTTACTACATTTCTTGATTGTTTTATACATATGTGATATCTTCCACAGTTTAATATAAGAATTCATTTATTGTTTTTTTTTAAATAACTTGCCTTGGTAGTTTTCTGTGATTGAATTATATATGGGGTAAATTACGAAAAAAAACCTCATGTTTGGGTAATTACAACCACACCCCTCAACTATGAATTTTCTTATGCGTCAATCTTTGTGGTGTCAAATGTAGTGGAATCTTCTAAATAATGTGGAAGGGTAAATTACAAACACCCCCCTGAGGTATGGTCAAATTACAAAAACACCCCTCTTGTTTGGATAATTACAACCACCCCCTCAACTCATCAAATTTAGTGGAATCTTCGAGATTATATGGAATATTATCACTTTTGTACCCGTTTTATCCCATTCAAACTCTACATTATGAAGCAAGATGATCATAATATGTGATTTTTAGCTTGTATATATCAGTTTGTGGTGCATCAAAAACTGTATTTTTACACAAAACGAGTACAAACTAGAGCACATTTCACGGACTCTAGATGATTATGTTGAATTTGGCACCATAAGGGTGGAGGTGTAAGAAAAAATCATAGTTGAGGGGGGTAGATGTAATTATCCAAACAAGAGGGGTTTGTTTGTAATTTGACCATACCTCAGGGGGGTGTTTGTAATTTACCCAATGTGGAATATTCTCCAGTTTGTACCCGTTCTACCCCATTCGAGCTCCACATTTTGAAACAAGTGATAATAAGATGCGTCTCTTGGCTTGTAAATATCAGATTGTGGTGTATCAGAAATTGAATTTTCGCACAAAACGAGTACAAACTGAAGAACATTCCACGGAAACTAGAGAACATTTTTGACGCCATAAGGACGGACGGACAGCCTTC